GGAGGCGTGGAGAGGGAGTGATAAAAAGGGGAAAGAGGAGAGGAAGGGGTTAGTGGGTAACCAGAGTTAATTGTGGTTGGGTTTGAAGCTGGGTTAGTGGTTGGGGGGCGGGGCCATGTGATGGGCAGGTGTGCTTTGGTTCACAGCTGGAAATGTTAAAGGGCTTTCTGCATGGATTGGTGGCAAATGGTATTTGCCATTGCGCCTGCTCTTGTTTGTGGGGAAAATGATAAGAGTGCCCTCACGGGTGATTAGCTTGGTTCGTGCCACTGCCACGTGGAGGAGATCATAAAAGCAAGTGATATTATGATGGTTTTGTTGACGGGATGGGTATATTAACGGTTATGAAGATGTTTTGCTCGATTTAGGTTGTTGAATCAACCAAGGTAAAAATCTAAGTCAAATGATATTATTTTATTTTTATTTTTAAAAAAAATCAGAAGTTGACCAGGTTAGTGTTTTTTAACTAAATTAACATGTAACTAGAAGCACTTGATTTCATGGTATGTACATTTTTTTATAATTTAATTTGAAATTCAACCAGAATATAATTATAAATAATAATATTTTTATTAATTCATCAGATTAAGCTGGATTTAATGATTATAATTTTACTGGATAATTACAGGACCAACTTCGTGGATTGAAATATAAATTAAACACCTTTCCTAATCAAGTTTAGTTCTCATGGCTGGAATTAATCATAATTTAATCAAATCTTGAATCATTTCATAAACCGGAACGGAAATGTGCATTTATGAGGAAAATCTGATATTTTTTGAATTTGAATTTGAAATAACAAGAGGGGGGCAAATTAACTCGGCAATTGACCCGATAGCTGAAGAATAGAATTTAAAAGAGAAATCATGAAGATTCTAGAGAGCTTCCAACGTCCAGATTCATCATGGCAGGAGATTAGGAGGTGGACCAATCTGATATTATGCTGTTTCTACCCATAAACGAAAAATTTGACTTGTTTTTTCTAGATGAAAACTTGCTACATGGTTGTCGATGAAAAAACTTCATGTGCACGCCATGTTTTCCATGGCTAGTTGACGTGCTTGGCTGGTAGTTGTTATTCGTTAGAAAAAGTAAAGCTCCACGAGGAACAATAAACTCTATAATACTTAAATTGAGATGTGCATACAAAAAGAAACGATACACTGTTGTAGAAAAAATATAGATTGCATGAACTAGCTTGGCTTGTCCTAACTTTCAATGGCCTGGCCTGACTTATCTCTGACCTTTGCCTAATTGTGGCTGGGATTGTCTTCACCTTGTTGCTTGTTTTGTGACTGGTTAAATTTATACAGTCCAACCTTAAAATCTTTTCATGAAAAAGGTTGTATTATTGATGGGAAAAAATAATGTTTTGTTGGTTTGTCCGAGCATGATGGCCCTGAGTTAATATATCAAATCATGCGTATGGAAGGTCGCATGGTTGGTGGATTGTAATAAATGATGTGAAAATCTTCCATGTTGGTTAGTACGACGTCTATGATAAGGTAGATTCTTCTTTGAAATTGATTTTTCATTTAAATAACAGAAAGGAGGAAAGGGAGTTCCAATTCTCTTTATTCTCTGCTTGATACAGTCAACAAAGTCGTGATCCTGAAAATCCTGCTCTGTTTATAGTCTGTATGATCTCAAATTGCAGGTTCGCTGTCGCGGAAAACAGCATCGTGTCTTCTAAAACTTTCATAGAGTAGTAGACCGTGATTTTGGGTTACGTGTGGGATGGTATTTGTGAATAGATTTATTTATTTATTTAATCTTTCGTTGAAAAAAAAATTATAAATTTGCTTTGTTAGGAATATCTTTTGACTTGCATCAAAATCTTGTCATGATTTTTTTCACTTTAAAAAAAGAATGATTAATTTAATATTACTTTGTTAAAAAATTAAAAGTTAGCTCGATAAAAAATATAAGTAAAAAATCAATTATTTTTTAAAAAATAATTAAAACAAACTTGATTTAATTATTTTATTTTTGAAAATGGGTCAATTGGGTTGATATTCATACCTCATAAGCAGGACCTTGATTTTGATTAATTATTGATTTAAGTTTTAAAATTATAACGATAATCATTTTTATTTATGTATTGACTTGGGTTAAGCCACGATCGAGACCTTGTCCTAAATAACCCCCTAAATCAAGTTTTAAAATTATAAAAATAATAATTTTTACCTTTAAATTGTCTTGGGTCAACTTTGGTTGACCCTTATATTTCGTGATCATGTTCTTGTCCTTTGTTGACCTTCAAATGGTTTTTTAAAATTATAATAATATTTTTATTTTATTTTATGTTGATCTGGATTAACTAGAGTTAATCTTTTTAACACATGACTAAACCTCAGCTTAAGTTGTTTCTCAAATTTGAGTTTTAATACTGTGGTTGTAATAGTTTTTGTTCTTATATTAACTTGGATCAATGATCAATCTCACTTATGATCAAAATATTGACTTAAATTAATGGTCGAACCAAATTTTAAAATTATAATAATAATTTTTTATATTTTTATGCCAACATGAATCAACCAATGCAAACCCGACCAGTGATCCAGGTCTTGATTAGCAAATCAGGTTATGCTGCTTTCATGTTTTTATTTTTTTGGTTTTAAATTATTATTTCTATATTTTTAATTATTTTAACATACTAATTTAAAAATAAATTTATTAAAAAATAAAAAGATATTTTAAAATAAAAATTATAGTAAAAAACAATCTCCGCCGCAGCCAAAACCGTGACTAAAAGACACCGGTGAAGGACTTCATTTTTATTCTGTGAAGAAAATATAACGTGGAAAATAAACGGAAGTGAAAGAATGAATGTGCTAAACCACAGGCTGTTTGTACTCCAATCAAAACGGGACCACATCAGGTTTGATGTATGGTTCTCGAGCAATCACATATTTGTCGGCAGCAACGCAGCACCGCACGCAAGCCAAATCCTAAACTGACAAAATATTATATATGTATGTTGCTGCTTTCCAACAGATGCCATGTGACTGTGTGCCCCCTCAACATTCGAAGCCTCTATTAAAAGGCCAACTTGCTTGCTGGGAACCCACGCCGGAATCAATTGGTTTTCCAAAAGTATTTGGTAGATATCAGAAACACTTGAAAAGGATATTATTATTTTTCAATTATTGTGGATATCCAAATTTGTATCTACATTTACTAATCTCACTAATTTTAAAGTTAATAATTGTATAAGTATTCAGTAACAGTAAAACTTAAAAAATTCAAACTAATAATTTATAAAAAATAATTTTAAAACTTGATTATTTAATTTACACTGTTATAATTTAAAATTTACATTTACGACAGTCGGTACATCTATCATTTATATTTTTATAAATAATTCAGCTGACTAACTTACTCCAACACATCAATTCCAGTTAATACACATTCATTTCATTAAATCTATTGTTTTTTATTTATTTATGATTTTAAATCTCTCTAATATGTTAATATTAAGAATACATTTTTTAAAATAAAAATATATATATTTGATATATTTATATGTAAAAATACTTAAAAAATTAATTAATAATATACTAAAAAGCAATTTTAGAGGATGTTTGAGATTATGACACCAATTTTTTTAAAGTATTTTTTGTTTAAAAATATATTAAAATATTTTTTTTATTTTTTAAAATTACTTTTAATACCAGCATATTAAAATAATATAAAATATTAAAAAAAATTTAATTTGAAGTGAAAAATTATTTAAAAAAAAAAAACACAATGACAATCTAAAAATTAAGTGAAACTTTGAATTGGTACACATGATTTGAGTAGTTTCCCTGGGTGGGACCACGACACGATGTTCTGTGGATCGGGCTTTTGTCAATCTTAAACTATAAGCCCAGATGTATATTTTTTTAAAGAAGCCCAACTAAAATTAGTTCTTGCAAATTCCATCCTTCCGCTATCCTGGGTCAAATGAGCCCTAGAAAATATGGAGTTTCTGGCCCTCTAATTTTGAAACACAAAGCCCTGAAAAAACAATTCGACCGACTTGACACGTGGACACTCCTTCAGGCACTGGCGTAGTCCACCTGTCCAAAAACGGATCCCACTTATTCATGCTAGATAGTGCGGACCCACCAAACAGAAAGGTCATTGACGTGTCATGTTCTTGTCAGGATTTCTGCAGGACAAAGCCAGCATGCTGACAAGGCGCGTGTAAGTAAGCCATCATCAGGATGTCACGCAACATGGCAACAAGTAGTGCTCATGCGGTGTTGTACTTCACGCTTGATTTATTTGAGTGGGGGGTTTTGAAAAGGACAAGCTACATTTTAGTTCCTGTAGATTTAGTAATATTCAATTTAGATCCTTACAGATTAACAATTTTCACTTCTAAGTAATACACATGGTTAAGAACTCCTGGACGATTATAATCTGGTAAGATAAGTGAGTTCGGTTTTTATCTACATATCAATATTCAAACCCTAATTAAAGTTAAAGAAGAAATAATTCATTTTAAAATAAAATTTCCTACCCGTATAAAAAATATTAATAGATACTGATTATTAAGAAAATAATTAAAATAAAATGCCTCTTTTCTTATTTATTTTTTAATTTTTTATTACAAAATTTTCTCTATCTCTTAATCACAACACCTATTTTTTTAATTAAATATCTAATTGTATCTGTATATAACAATATTATTTACCTGCCATGTATTAGATGGAGAATGGCATTTATTTAAGATTTAATTAATAAGATAAAGAAGGGTTTAATTTATATTTGAAAACTAGTTAATAAACTAATTTACAGAATGAACCAGAAAATTGCCGCCAGCTATTTAAGAACGAAGAATCACACTAGAGTTTCTGGAGACTTAAAGAGATTAAACTATATATACCATGATGAAATATTGTGAAATTTTTAGGGTCCAAAGTATAGTTTACCCTAGAAAAACAGTCACGTGCATTTTCCTTTTGAATTTTGTCTGCAGCAAGCAAGCACGCAAGGCAGTTGATTATGGTCAGAAAATCTGACACCTCTTTAACCTCACTCAGAAGGGAGATGCCCTATGCTCGTGGTTAATTAAAGAGGTGGAGCTACTGCCTTTTGTTTTGGCTTCTGAATTCACTTTTTGAAAGAAACCTCTGCCTCCCTCTCTCTTCCTCTCTCTGTCAATGCCCATTAAACTCACTGTCAGGTACACAATCCTGTGTCTGTTCTTGTTTTTGTAGATACACGACAATGGAGAGAAGAGTATCCGAAGAATCAGCGCCGTCGATGAAATTGTCTCTCGGGATTGGTGCCGGTGATCATGGTGATGATGATCAAGATGATAGACACGTGTTCCCACAGTTAACAGATACTCAGTTGCATGAGCTTAAACAGCAAGCTTTGATATTCAAGTACATAGCAGCTGGTCTTCGCGTGCCTCCTGATCTTGTAGTTCCCATTTGGCATAGTGTTGCTAGCAGCTCTCTTGGGTCATTTAGTGGTGTTGATATTTACAGGCAATTCCCAAGCTGTAAGTCAATATCTTTTCTTTAGTTGTTGTTAAGTCACTAATTTCCTGGGTGGGGGTTGTTTTACTTGCTTGATTTTTCTTGGGGTTTGAGGTTAGTGGATTTGAGCTTCAAAATGGGGTTTTGTTACTAGATTTTTTTGTGCTTCTTTAAGCTTACACATGCTTAATTGAAGACCTGGCATTTCTTGGTTTAATGGTCTTAATTGGATTCATTTTTGTTTGTCTTGCTTTAAGGCGATTGTGCTTGTTTCTATTTTTTTTTCTTGTTCCAAGGAATGTGATTTAGAATTGTTTCATGATGCTTTTGTATGCGCAAGCCTTGAAATTTGTTACTACCACCCTTTTGGGGGGTAATGCTTATGTAACTTGAAAATATAAGTTGAGATTAATAGTCCTACACAACATGTCGCATGTTGGGATGATCTCATGTTTGTTTAGCAGAGGTTGAGATTTTTTACTCGATGAAACACCCTTTTGGGGACTCGTGCTTTTTTCGAAAAATGATGTGTGGTGGGCATGGAATCTGAATTTTATGTTTGTTTAGGTTAATTTGTTAGAAATTTAAATGAATTTGACCACCTGTATTAATTTGCTTTCTTATGTCAGTTGTGGGATTAAGTCCTCAGGGATTTGATTATAGACAAATGATGGATCCAGAACCTGGGAGGTGTAGAAGAACTGATGGGAAGAAATGGAGGTGTAGCAAGGATGTAGTTGCTGGTCAGAAGTATTGTGAACGCCATATGCATAGAGGCCGTCAACGTTCAAGAAAGCTTGTGGAAGCTTCTCAAACTGCTGCTGCTTCTGAAAAACCATCACCTCACAATTCAAGCAAGAATTCAGACAATTCAACCACTCATTCTTCTACTTTAGCCAAAGTAAGTTCACAGATAAAAGCCCCACCTCTTGATAATACCCCCGCCATTTTAACCACTTGCACCACAAGTTGCAATTCTGACATTGAAATCACTGGCATGAGCTTGACCACTACTGCTAATGCTGACCGCAAAAACCCCTTTACAACCATGACTACTAGCATTGTTACCAGCTACAAGAACACTGCAACTATGATCGCTAGTGCTGTTCATGCTGACATTACAGCCACTGGTAACGACTACAAGAGTAGCATCAACTTAAAGAGACACTACATTGATGACAGAAACAGTAATTGCAGCAACTCTGTTACTTACAAGGGTATAATAGACAAAAACTGCAGCAACAAAAAAATAAAAAATGCTGGTAGCAATATATCTCAAGGATTGAACTTCTCCCCGAAGAGTGTTCTTCAAGGTAGTATACATTATGTGAATTGAAATTACTACTGCTATGAGAAGAGATTTTCACTCTAGCTTGTGTATATTTGACTATACTTTTCAAAACAACAGGACATCTTTAATGGTCTGGAAAGAGTTATTTAATTTCTCAGCGAGTTCCATATTGGCTTCCTTACTTTCTCACCATTGTCGTTAGAGTTTATATCCACTGAAGAAATGCGGTCTTAGTTTGTAGTTCATTCCATTCCATTTCACGAAAGAATGCTGTATGTTAGGTGGTGTGAACTCAAAAGTAGTGGTTGCTCTCTAGATGCGCTGAGCAATTTATCCGTCTCCCTGGAGGCTTCAGTTCGCAATCTAGTTAGTGAGTCCATTATAAGTTTAATTTTTATTGCTTAAGAAATCTGTCCTGTTCCTTTTCATTGAACAATTGGATCATGAATTATTTGCTGGATTTTTTTCAGCAGCGCGAGACTCGGAGCTCCTTCGAAACCATTCTTAGAGTGATTTTAGACTAACAGTTTGTTTTGTTTTGAAGATTGGATTCATACGTTCATTACTGTTGTTTTCAGTTCAAGGTTGCGGTGCCTCACACATTTACATGAATGATGTGGAACTTGAACTGGGAAGGTGTAGAAGAACAGATGGAAAGAAGTGGCGATGCCGCAGGGATGTTGTAGCTAATCAGAAGTATTGTGAGATGCACATGCATCGAGGTTCTAAGCAGCACTTGGAAGCTTCCAAACCTGCTGCAATTCCTGCTACCATCCCATTTGTCCCTGGGAATGTTCATTCATATCCTACAATGAACTTGCCAAATAAAGCAGATTGCAGAAGCTTAAACACCGATCTCTGTATTTCTATCCCAACAAGTCCTCAACTGATCATGACCAATGATGATACAAGAACTATCAGCAATAGCAGTGACACTACCATAAGCGACACCATGGTTGGTACCTATCAAAACAAAAACCTTTCCTCTTAGCTTTTTATTTGGATTATGTTGAGTTTGTTTGGAACCTTCCATTATCATATGAGATCAGTTTTTTGGTGTTCTACCGAGGAAACAAGGATTGCCTTTGTTTTTCCGTTGTAATGAGAAATTGTGTAATCAACGAACACCTCATGGTGTGGTTTGTTATATTACATGTTGTAACCACGCTTAGCTCGACTAATTGGTTCTTAAATTGTCCACTAGAGATCAAGAAAAATGGTTCTTCGGTGTGCATGAAATGCAAATGGGATATACATGTTTTGTGACTGTGCATGAAATTCAAATGGGATATACACATGTTCTGTTGACTCCTCAAATTGGTATTAGGAACGTATTTTCTCTCCCGCTTCTGCACAGGAAGGGGCTGTGTAGAACGAAAATTCATCTGGATATGGAAGATTCTATGTTCTCCGATAATTTGCATTAGGGTAATAAAATAATTGCTTCTAGAATTTATTTTGAGAAAGCAGGTTGTTTCCTGAATTAAAAAAAAAAAAGTGTTAATTCTAAGACTTTTTAACTTGATATCATGATAAAGCATTATTAGGTGATCTGTTTAAACCCTAAATTGAAAGTAATTTAGTCTTTTTAGTAATAATAGAACAGAAAAAAATAATAATTTATTAAGAGTTTTTAGCTCTTTCGCTTTCATTATATTTTAACTTATGGATAATTTCAGGAAGGTTATTTTAATTTGCCCGTTGATTATGTTTGCCAGTTCAATGTTTTGTGATAATCTAAATGATTGTGAAGATAGTAGAGGGGCACCAGGAGTGGTATCAACACATGCAGGTAATGGTAATCCCAAAAGTCCTCCTGGTGGTGACAGAGCCAGGTTATTAAAGAAGGCTGAAGTTATGTACGAGGAAGTACAATCCAGCCGTGGGGTCAGAAGTTTTATCCAAGACAGAAGACTTCCAACTTTTCCCTATGTTTATATCACCCACCTGCTGTTAATCTGCAATTAATTGTAGTTATACCATGTGATTAAAGTTACAGGAGGTGTAAGAGAATAACCTTTAATCCATCCTATGCAAACAACTGATATCAGCCACTCGATACAAATATATATATATATAAACAAAATGTATTTACAAATTTGTGCATTTCAGTACTTCTGGAACGTAAAGTGCTTTCTTACAATTGGATTGTTTGTTCCCAAGGCTGATTTTACAACAGTGATACAAAGAATCACACTCCTAGAGGAGACGATATTCTGAAAGGCAACATGAGCATAATGCAGCAACACAAGGCTTAAAAAGAATCATCAAATGCAGGTGCCTTTCTTGTGATTAGTTGACAGGTAAAAGTTGACTTGAGAAGCGCTGAATCGAGTTCATGCTGTGACAGGAAGTCAGTTGGAGCCGAATTCCTCGTTCCATCGTTCAAGCTCTCCCCACTTGCTTTTGCTTAAGCTGGGTCTAATTACAGCCAATGCCTTCTGAAAGTCTTCATATCTGAGCGGTCTTACCTAATCAAGCAAACACCACACAACATCAATTTTACTCAAAATCCAGATACAATCAATGGAAAATCTAACTTGAGAAATATATTTTAATCAAAATCTTAACCTACAACTCATTTAAAAAGACCAAGCAATAATTTCAGAAGGCGCCTCAGGAGTGAGGGTTTTCTTCGGGAGATGTGTTTCAGAAACCCTACTCCAGAGGGCTATTGAAGACGCAGTGAAAACCGAGTTTGGGCATGACAGTTTAAAAGTCACTCATCTGAGTTCTTTTAATAGTTTGGAATTAAATTCAAATGCTCATATTCTAAAACAAGGGATATCCACAAGTGTTAATAAGTGAACCCACTTCATTCATATAAAAAGATAGTGAACCAACTTCAGTTTTTAGCAATACTGGTGATTATGGTTTGTAGGTCATGCATGAGATTAAAGTCAAGAAATCTTCAAACGGATATGGTAATGGATTCAAATCTACCAACGACATACCATACATGATTGCCTAAGATTATTTATGGATAATTTACCAGAACATAAAAAGAGAAAGACCATGTTTTTAGCTGCATTACCTGATTTGCCTTGACAGTGAGAATGTTTGCACCAAGCTCCCTAATTGGCATCATTGCTGCCTCTTCACACAAGGCTTGTAAATCACTTCCAGAATATCCTATAAATTAGAGAGTTAAAAGGATTGAGATATTAGTTTGAAAGTTTTATTCACTGTCATTGATGTTTGAGGATCACTTTTGTTACAAGTCCTCTAAGTGGCATGCATACATTGACTGTCGGCCAGCTATAATACATGTCAAGGACTTCACACATCAAAGATTTTCCTATCAATGACATAAGCATTGAATGTGTTCAGTAAGCTATATTGAGCATATCCTATAAGCAAAGAGCTGAAGGGATTTAGTTTTTAGTTTGAATGTTCTTCTTTCCTATATGTCATGGCCATCCAATAAATGCAATATTCAATACGTATTAGGTATCTTACCTTCTGTCTCTCTAACAAGCTTTTCAAGGTCTCCACCTGTCACACATTGTATGCTGTAAATTATCACATCGAAGTAAAACAGACACTAACCATGATGCATGCCAATTTTGCTTTTCCAATGCACTGTTTCTGTTGCATTATCTACAGCTTGGCAAAAAAAAGTTTGAGAAGCTGAAAAAAGGCAGATGCTCAGCAAAATTGATTACAATTGAAGGTTGGTGGCACAAAAGAAACATAGAAGGATGCCAAAAAGAAGGGGGTGGATGGGTAAATAATAATTAAAAGTGTGCAAAAACGGGTTGAGGTTGGCAATTCAAAGAGCAAAGGCATGCTAAGGTATATTATCTTTTTACAACTTACCAAAGATTTTCAAATGAATATCCATTTCCTGTTAAAAGATGACTATGATTGCAGCAACCAGCTTTTTTAAGCATTGCTCTGAATTTAGAAACTAATTTTCTCAGGACATTTCAAATGTCTTCTTAAGTTATTGTTTCAACCTATAATGAATGACACCACAAAACAAAACCAGGAAAAACATATTCTTAAAGCATGGTATGCAAGGGTATGGTACTTTTCAAATAAAAAAGACCACTGACAGAATGAATTACAGAGAGAGCACACAAATACCAGGTAAGGAAAATGCTTGGCCCTTGAGTTTATGTTTCAAAAGAACCCTTCTAACGTTTCCATCCGGTAGAGGTACATATATTCTCTTTACCTGTTCAGTATTTCACATCAAACTCAGTCACAAAAGTTAAATAAACTAAATTTAGGAGAGAAAATTGATTGAATTCAGATAAGCCACATATGAAGATGATTTTATCAAGGAAGAACAATCCAAATGAAAAAATGGCATAATTTGATTCTTCTACCATGACTTTTTGCTATATAACAGCAAACACTTTTAAGACAAAAGCGAAGAACTGATTAGTTAGATTGTTGTGAAGGCAGGCTGCAGTCAGTTACAGAGGTGGTTTATGCTCAACCCATCTAACTAAACCAGACCTAACTAGAAAAATCCAAAGCTGATACCACCTAGAAGATAGAGAGAAAAAATACTTCAAATTTGATATTTGTGCCTACGATGGGCCCGAATACTCTCAATCCACGACATCGATAATGTCGTTATCAGCATTTCTGGCACAAATGCCTAAGCTCATATTATTGGATGGAACTATCTAGGCAACATTAGTTCTCTCTCTTGGTTGCTGTCTCCTTGTATTTTTGATGCATGGGAGCATGTTCCCTTTTGCTTTTGCTTTTGTATATGTGTATATATGACTTACCAGCTTCCTGACCTGTTTCATTTTGATCTATTATATTCTTACATTTGATTAAAAAAACCTATGTAGGCAACATTAGGCTAGATGGCAGCAACATTGAGGGGAACGGGGACTTAATTGGAAAAAACAAATTGATTGCCTCATTCTTTGATGTTTGGGACCTAGGCTTACAATAGACTTGAATGATACAAATAGAAAACAAGCCCTCTCTCAATCCAAATCACCAGGAAGGCACCTGATCATGAATACCCAGGCTCAAATTATTTTAACAGTCCTGCCTTGGTAACATTAGGCTGAACAATGCCAACATAAAATAAGGATGTTTTGTTGAAAAGAAAAGTATTATCCAACTCATTTAAATCAAGCTGCAGCAAATTCATGGAACAGTATACCGACCAATCTCCTAAGAACTGCATCATCCAATTCCTGCGGCTTGTTGGTGGCACCTGCAATAGAATTTCACAAGAATCTTAAATCATGTAACCAGAATGCCTCTCACAACTATTTGGAGCCTATATTACATGTCATCTAAGTTTTTGAGGGTAAAATGAAAAAAATAACTGGATGTCAGTTTGGTGTTGAGTTCTGTAGAATGATGCATGCTATTGAAAAATAATAGATATACTTGTTTCATAGGAAAATGAATATTTATGGCTACGAGTGATCAAATAGAAAACGCAATGAAGCAATCACTTCATGAAGGTTCCATAAACTTCAACAAGAGTGTAATTTGAAAAGTAATAGGAAATGCTGAACCAGAGAAGTTGAAGTTTACAACTTGTTCCCTTGACTGCAAATTTTCTGTAGACAGAGGAATTTGGCCAGCCACTAATGCATGTGTGTTCCATATTTAATTGATCAATATCATTTGGAAAATGCAGCAGACACCATGACTATAAAGACAAGTTTTAAAGTAGAAGTTGGAGCAACAGTCAACACAGCGAAGTGAAGTTGACAGACCCAAATGCTAAGAGCTACAGCTCAATTACATAAAGCTTACCAATAACAATGACTAAATCATTAGGATTAGAGGTCACGCCATCAAATTGTATTAGAAATTCAGACTTCAATCTTCGGCTTGCATCATTCTCATTAGCCAACCTTGTTGACATAATACTGTCAATCTGTTAACAATCAGGATAAACAAAATCATTATATCTGCAGAAACAAGAGACTGGCATTAGCCATAAAAAAATAAAAGATAACAGAAACTGAGAGCGAAACACAACCTAATTTTTTAGCCAACACCTAGCATTCCGCGAAGGACTAAGAAGGGAATATAAAATACAAATTACAGCAAATAAAGAACTTGTAAACAACTTAAATCCCAAATACAAAAAGAATCAAGCTTGAAGAACAACTAGGATGATAGTGGTGTGCTGGTAGTGGCAAGAAAAAGAAAGCCAAATGTAAACAGATTTTCATTTTAACTCAAGTCACAGCAATGACAGAATACAGCTGTCCAAGAGAAACCAGTTATTGATGCAAAGCGAAGCATAAAACTTTACTGCAAATTCCCTAAATAATAAAATCACCATAGATACTACCATGTTGCAATACCAAACAGATAGGAATTGCAATATCAATTGTTTAATCCACTAAACAACCAATGTTAGCCAACTATTTTAGTCAAGTCAATCCACTGTTCTTGACCTAAATAAATGCAAGCACCACACATCGTACATCAGAATAAAAGAAGAGAAGCATGGTTTCAGTTGAAATTGACCATCATAAAACAGTTTGCAGAAAGAGTAACATACTTCATCCATGAAAATCACAGATGGCTGTCTGGATATAGCAACAATAAAAAGAGCACGAACAAGCTTTTCAGCCTCTCCCACCTAATTCATTACAAGTAAAAAAAATCATTAGACAATCTTTAGAAGGACGCAAAGAGCCAAGAACACGAGGCAGAATAATTTTTCTTCTCCTGATTTTAGTAAGGAAAAAAGAAGAAGAATAGTACCCATTTTGATGTTAGGGAAGATGCTGAAACATTAAAGAATGTAGCTTCTGACTCTGAAGCAACTGCTTTGGCGAGCATGGTTTTCCCATTGCCAGGCGGACCAAAGAGAAGCAGACCTGAATAACAAAGATCGAGAGTTATTATTGACGTAATAAGCTCTTAAGTTTCATAATAAATCTCAATATATAAATCTTTGTTACCTCTAGCAGGTTTCCGAAGGCCAGTGAACAAGTCTCTTCTCCTAGTAGGCAAAATAACCATTTCCATCAAACTTTGTTTTGCCTTCTCAAGTCCAGCTGAAAATGACTTACATCACTAAGTCTAAAATGTAAAAGTTAAAAAAGTTGGAAACAGAAACAAAGAAAGAAATTTGTTGTCGCAACTCCTTACCAACATCTTCCCATTTAACAGAAGGACTTTTATCCACTATTGCTGAGTTTATCATTTCAATCAATTTTGCATCATAGCCACTACCAGAATCTTGCCTTTGTTTTGAGGTTATAGCTTTATCAGTCTGATTCTTGATCACTGGAATGTTTCTAGTGGAATGAGCTGACTTCTGTGACAGGCCTTGCCTAGAATTTGATGATGGAACTGCCGCAGTAGGCGCATGAGTTAAGGTGTTCTGCAAAAATTTTGGGAAATAAAAAAACATATGGATAATAACATAATCAACATCACTTGGAAATCCAAAACATCCAAATTTTGCAGATACTTCTTCAAAAAGAAAATGATAAGCTTGTTGAGAATCAAAACAACAACAAAAACAAGAACAATGTCTCAAGAAACTTTGCAAAATTAGATATCTAGTTGTAGGTTCCATTGAATCCTGAATTAATCTTTATTACAAACTGCACTTTGTTGTTTCTATGCAAAACTTTATCTGAAAAACAGGACCCATTCTGGTTGTCGGCAGTTACTATTGGATTTAAGTTTAATCAAGTATTTGAGGGAAGCTATCTAGGCTAAATGAAACAGAATTACCTATTCCGATCATGAGCTGTAGAGAATTGGCAATTTTCTAAGGAAAAAAATAGTTCAGTGCTTACATTTTTCTTTCTGCTCAAACAATTACATGCAGTGATTCTACTTTGACATCCATATATATACTTGTGAAGCTGAAATTTTTATATCGAAAATGACTGCAAGAAGACATCAATTTCTTGCAAAGGGAGTATACACATATCCATATTAAATTCCCTTCACAACAATTGTAGTCCATAGAGACTCTTCAGGATACATAAAAACCTAAAATTCCTAAATACACATTGTCAGCAGTTTTAAAATCAGGTTCAAATTGCAAGCAGCACCTACAGGTTTTGATATAGTAAGAAAGAATTCCAAAGTTCAACACCACTAGGCTACAAACAAAATCCTACCCTTATTCGAACCATAAGAAACCAACTCCCTTCATTAAATGTTAAGTCAGTCTATAAAAAACATCTAAATCCATAAAAAAAATGAAAAGATTACTTCATTTTAAATATAAACTTACAGTGGGGCCACACCAAACCATACCTTGCTCGTTGAAGTCCCAGCTGATACAAAAAACAAAAGAAAAAAAAAGTATTAATATCATCACTCTACATCAATCATTTCAATTACCAGACATTGTTTTCTTCTTTTAAAAAAAAAAATAATAAAAAAAAAGAGTTTGCCATAATCAATTCATGTCTAGAATTGTTTTCTTCTTTTAAAAAAAAAATAATAAAAAAAGAGCTTGCCATAATCAATTCATGTCTAGAATGATTACCTGCTCGCCGATTTAAAACTTGTAATCTCTCAGAAACTTGACCTTGCCATTTGGATATTTTTTGTCGATACGATTTCACCTTCTCTAGCTCCCTATTTTGAACAATTTTTTTTTTAAAAACCCAATAGTTATTAGCTACAAAAGAAAAAATCAATCAGGTTAATTAAAATTTCAAAATTGAAATTACCTAGAGCTAATATAAGAAGGCGAAGGTGTTGAGGCAGCTTCGATGAGAATCTGTTGAGCGTTTTTGTAATAAACAATGGCGTCATCAATTAATCCCCATTCTTCAGCTCTAATGGCTTTATCGATCTCTTCCGTGGCTAGATCGAAGTATCCTTTCAGTTTGTACGCGATTCGTTCGTTAGAAAACGTAGTTCCAGGATCCATGCCGTCCATTGGAGTAGAGGTCGACGTAGAGTTAGGGTTTTGGTGTTGTGAGCGTGAGTCTTCAGGAACTGAGAAGATTGTACTTAACGAGTCGATTATGCCTTTCAAGAAGCTCATTTCTCTAAGAAGATGCCGGGCATGGAAGAAAAAAAAAAAAAAAGACAAAAGAGAGATTCAGTGAGAGATAATTAATCAATGGGCCGGCTACTGGTCAAAAATAATAAAAAAAGAGCAGAACATCTTACTGATGGGCCTAAGAACAAGGACTGGTTAGGTATGGCCCAAGAATCTACTTCAACCTGAAGAGTCAAAAGCAAGCCGTCTCAGCCTGCAATGGAGTCTAATGGGTTTGTATGCACATCATGCAACGCCCAACACTTCACCGTTAGGCTATACGGGTATCCGTTTGCTTCTTCTTTTTGTTTGTATTTTCAGATTTTTTTTATATATTAATATCAAAAATAAATTTTAAAAGAATATTATTTTGATTAAAAAATATAAAAAACTAACATTACCACAATATCTATACGCTGCTTTTATCATAAATGATTATGGCAAATTAGCAAGGTCGGGTTTTGCTAATATCATTCTGGGATTAAGTAGATGGCTTTATTCCCTTGCAAAGACTAGAAATTTTATGATGGGCAAGCATTAAAAAGATGACTCAACAATAGGATTTTCCAGCCTCAATCACCTTTCAAATTCGTCATATTTCATGATTGCATCTTCCCTAAGTTTTTTGCGCGCACAATTTATTAAATGAAAACATGAAAATTTTCGATGCTAATTTGAAATACATGCGTGCGTGTCACTTTAAATCAACAACTGATAAATCTATTGTTGATTTCTTTACTTGTCGTTGCTAATCAGCTATGATATTTTGATTTTATTTATTTTTATATTTTATATTTTATATTTTTAATCAATATTCTTTTTGATATTTTTAAATTATATTGGAACCAAAAATAATTTTTAAAAATTAAAAAAAATATATTTTTAATAAAAACATTTTAAATTTAAACTACAATCACGCTTACAAACACACGCTAAGAGCATCTCTAATGAAAAATGCTATTTTAAAAAATTAATTGATAAAATAACATTTTGAATAATATAAATATAGTTTTTTTTATCATATCTATTCTGATAGAAAAAAACTAATAGAAGAGCCATTTATATTAGAATAAAAAAAATAAATATTTTATTATTTTTAATATGTTTGATGTTTTTTTTTCATATAGTTACATTTAATTGGTTTATTTTTTTAATAATCCTATTTTATTGGTTTTGGTTCTTTAAAAAAATATATAAAAATAATATTTATAAAAAAGAAAAGATATTTTAGTATTTTGTTTGGCTTTCTTCATAGAATGTGCAAAATAAATAAAAAAATTAAAATATTAATTTTTTATTTTTAACTATTCATTTATCTTATTCATCGGAAATACTCTTCATCAATCAGCGAAGCACAAATACTGTCCATCGCTAATTTTTACCGGCAACGGATTCTAGTTCTTCGTTGCTGATCATACCATTTTTGTTGGAGCGTGACATTCACCATCAGGGGCTATTCCTCCAGAAAGTATAAATGGAGTTTGACTAGCGCGGAAGACATTGATTAATCACAGGAATTATTACTTAATAAGATGCATATATAAAATGACAAGTCTCCAATTCCTTAACGCAGAAGGTGTTTGATTATTTCATAAACAAAAGTAATCGTGCCTTGCCATTCAAAGGTATATATTGTATTTTAGTTGCTGCAGCGGTGAAAATAAAAAAACAAGCCATCGCCGGAAGAAAAAGTCATCTTATCTTTTTATATAATAAGCATATTTGAAAATTTATTTTTTAAAAAGTTTTTTATATTGAAATATATTAAGTTAATATTTTTTATTTTTTAAAAATTATTTTTAAAATCATCATATTAAAACTATTCAAAGCATAAAAGATTATTTTTTAATAAAAAAATTGAATTTTTAAGTAACAATTTGCACTAAATTTTCAAACTATGCCTAAATTATTTGTTTAGTATTGAGGATGAATAAGTTTTTTTATTAAAATTTAAAATTTTATTTATTTAAAATTAATATTTTTAGTATTTTTGTATCATTTTAATATGTTAATATTAAAAATAAATTTTAAAAAATAAAAAATATATTATTTTAATATACTTTAAAATAAAAAAACAAATTAAAAAACAACTTCCAGAATCAAGTGACTCAAATTTATCTGATGATCAGTGTACCGTAATCAAACTCTGATTTAGTATTCGTAATTTAGCAAGCATAATGGACCTTACTGTTGAAATTAGTCGTAAAGACCAGAGATATTTTGTTTGCCTGCAGCTGTTTCCTTCCTGCATTTCACTTTCGATGATGCAACCTAAGCTTTCTGATAATACTAATTATATATTTTGCTGCTTAGACAACTTGAGCTGCAAAAACTCTCACCACAAGAAATGGGCATTCTCTTCACCATCTTCAGCATCACCGCAGCAGGACTTCTCTTTATCATTATAAGCTTCTTGTATCTCACATTTCAAATCTACTCAGGAAAATCCATCAAGAACCCCAACTATCCACCAGTAAAGGGCACGGTATTTGGCCAACTCTTCTACTTCAACAGGCTCTATGACCACCAAACTGAAGTTGCCAAGAAACAGAAGACTTTCCGGCTTCTTGCTCCAGGCCAGAGTGAATTGTACACAACTGACATAAGGAACATAGAGCATGTATTAAAAACAAATTTTGATAAGTATACAAAAGGTAAGTATAATCAAGATGTTGTAACCGATCTTTTTGGTAAAGGTATATTTGCTGTTGATGGAGACAAGTGGAGGCAGCAGAGGAAGCTTGCTAGCTTTGAGTTCTCGACGAGAGTTCTTAGAGATTTTAGCTGCTCTGTGTTCAGAAGAAATGCTGCTAAACTTGTCAGAGTTGTCTCCGAGATGGCTATTGCTGATCAGATTTTCGACATGCAAGTAAGTTCAACTGTTTTTCTTTTTTCTTTTTTTAATTGGATTGATTACACTAATTTAAAATTGGATATATAAATGTTTGGATCTTATTAGTAGAGAAGGGTGGTATAAGAGGGAATAAAATTTCTGCAAGTGTTCTGAAATTGTACAGTTTTAGTCCATAAGAACTGATCCATAGAATAAAGTTCTGAAATTGTGATCGTTTTCAATGTGTGGGTTTGACTTCGGAAGCCAGGTTCTCCATAGTTTTTGTTTTTTAATTAACAGGTTTCATTTATCTTGTATTGATATAGCACAGAAAAGAACACTTCATCTGATCTGGTATTTCCCATTGGTAGGATACACTGATGAGATGCACTTTGGATTCTATATTCAAAGTTGGGTTCGGAGTGGAACTGAATTGCTTTGAGGGGTCAAACAAAGAGGGAACCGAATTTATGAAGGCCTTCGATGATTCAAATTCCTTGGTCTATCGGCGCTATGTAGATCCATTGTGGAAACTGAAAAGGTACTTCAACATTTGCTCTGAAGCTTCCCTTAAGAAGAACATCAAAATCATTGATGATTTCGTGACCAACCTGATCGGAACAAAGAGAAAACTACAAGCCGAGGAACGACATTATGTAAGTGTTTCTAGTACTGGGACAATTCCCTTTAGTGAATTTAAAGAGCATTTACTTGTTCGGTTGTTCAAGAACTGACCAACATGTATTGATAATTGAAGAATGACAAGGAGGATATACTGTCAAGGTTTTTGGTGGAGAGCAAGAAAGATCCCGAGGAAATGAATGATAAATATCTGAGGGATATAATACTGAATTTTATGATTGCTGGCAAAGATACCAGTGCAAATACCCTGTCATGGTTCTTCTATATGCTTTGCAAGAACCCGCTAATCCAGGAAAAAGTCGCACAAGAAGTGAGAGATGTCACAAGTAGTCAAGATGATGTGGTTAATGTTGAAGAGTTCATTGCAAACATAACAGACACAACACTTGAGCAAATGCATTATCTTCACGCAGCATTGACAGAGACCTTGAGGCTATACCCTGCTGTTCCTGTGGTAATTTTTCAGAGAACTCATGGACTTCAAATTCTTTAAACTATATATTATTTTTTATGGGCGATATTGGTTGTTTTATAGACAGACACTTCATGAGAATCACTGATGCGATTATGCTAGTAACATGGTTTTTTGTTCTCAAGGATGGGAGGTGTGCAGAAGTGGATGACATTCTTCCTGATGGCTTTAGAATGAAAAAGGGTGACGGACTGTACTATATGGCATATGCCATGGGTAGGATGCCTTACATTTGGGGAGACGATGCCGAGGATTTTCGGCCAGAAAGATGGCTCAACAATGGGATTTTCCAACCTGAATCACCATTCAAGTTCATAGCATTTCATGTTAGTATCTTCTCTTCGTTTGTTGCAGACATAACGTGTGAAACAATTTCCAAAGTTGTTGTTTGTCCCCTTGCAGGCAGGTCCTCGGATATGTCTGGGCAAAGACTTCGCGTACCGGCAGATGAAGATACTATCAATAGCCCTTCTTCGGTTCTTCCGCTTCAAATTGGCTGATGACACAAGAAAAATAACTTACAGGACAATGTTCACACTTCACATTGAAGGAAGTCTGCATCTTCGTGCAATTGGAAGGACCAAGTCATGAAGATAAAATATGCCAAGCAAACAATTATGGCCTGGTGAATCTTGTTTTTACTGTATACATTGATACACATATCGATTAAACAACTGTGATTTCTACCGTTATGTTAGCTGCAGCAGTCGCACGACTTTGTCACCTTCGAGATAAAATTTGCAAGGAAAATTTTCATATGTCCTATTTTTCCTTCTGTAAACTATGTGCCACTAGCAACAAGCAGCTTGAATTTATCTAATCATCGTTATCAAGCTTGAATTTAGCATTAGTGACTTTAATTTGAATCATCACTATCCAGATATTCCTTGTGCAAAAGACAAGGAGTGCTCCTTTCTGTTTCGTTCATGTCATTTCCCTTGCTTCCACATCCAAAAGTTACAGCGCATGGGATGTTTCCAGTCTAAGTTTTAAAGCTATTCCCCTACACATATTTGCCTTATCTCAACAACCATTCATTCCAAGAAATGGATACTCTCTGCCATCTTCACCTTCACAGAAACAGCACTTCTCTTTATCCCGTCAACCTTCTTGTTTTTAGCACTCAA